GGGAAGTTCTGGCCTTCAGCGGGCGAAGTTGCCGCCAGCCTGGCTACCCCTGATTACCGGTCCGAAGCTGGATTGCCTGGCGTTCCCTGACAAAAGGACTCTACTCTGAGACATAGGTAGGACTACCTGAGTTCAGAGGAGCCATTAAATCTAGTCACGAAGCGCGACCGCCAAACACGCCGGGAAAGGCTCCCTCAGCGGCGCCCAGGCCTGCAGCCAGAGCAGCCAGTCCCCCAGCCCCGGTCTTGGCGCAGGGCGGAGGTTAGGTCCATTCCTACACCTCCGAACGCGTGGGCTCTGGCCCGAGGTTTTCCAAGGTGTCTCCGGACCCAGCCTCCGACTGCTTCGGGAGAGGCCCTAGTCCAGCCCCAAACTGGCCTGAGGGGCACTCCGGCCTGGTTTCTCTCCTTAGGTCTTCCTGAAGCGGCTTCAAACATTTTCCTCACACCAGAAACAGGCTCTTGCCAGACCCCATGCCCAAGACTTTCTCAGCCCGACTACCCAATCGCCTGGTTTCCCTACTCACCCATCGCCGCTCCGCTCGCTCAGACTTGGCCGCGGTAGCGGCGGTAGCGGCGGTAGCGGCGGTAGCGGCGGTAGCGGCGGCAGCGGAGGCAGCTTCAGCAGTAGCTGCTTCAGCGGTAGCTTCAGCAAACAATATGGCGGATCTGCAGGACGGCAGCCCGAAACGGACATTCCACCCCGGGTTAAAACGCGTTCTTCCTCCCCACCCCCTCTTACCTAGATTATACCAAAGACACGCATTAAAAAGAATGCAACCACTAATGGTCGACAATAGAGATGGAATAGGAAAGAAGCTACTGGAGTAATACGTACTAAAAAAAGTTAAGCATACCAAGTTCTCAGCTGTTTCTGTTACTATTTCTATTATGAGAACCTTTTTTATTCCCCCAAGTATCTAGGATTGAACTCAGGACCTTGCGCTTGCGAGGCAGGCACGGTGCCACTGAACTAAATCCCCAACCCTCTGCTACTATTTCTTCTTTAAAGTGTGGCCTCCGTCTCCCAAAACTTTTTTTATAATTAAGGCCAATTATACACCTTGAGCTAATTATGAATAAGGAATCATCTGGAGAGGGGACGTGCTCAAGGCTATAAGAGATAAGGAAAGGAAGAAGTCAAGACTAAATCCAGGTTTTCTGTCTACCACCCAAAACCCTAGTTAAAACTGCAGTCTCGGGCCACGGATTTAGCTCAGTGGCGCTGTTGCCTGCCTTGCAAGCACAAGGTCCTGAGCTTAATGCCCGGTACCCACAAAACAAAAAACAAACAAAAACCCCCCTGCAATCTCATTGGAAGCTCAGAAATAGAGAAAATAGAGGCTGGCGTTTATAGCTCACTGGTAAGGCTCATATTTACCATATGCAAGGCCCTGGACTTGAGAGAACAAGGTGTTGTGGAACATGCCTATAATTCAAGCTACTTTGGAGGCTGAGGCAGGAAGATTGCAGGTTTGGGTATTTTGACACTTGGGTGTTGAATAAACAAACAAACAACAAACGGGACAGGTGAGTTACAGAGCAAGGGATATAATCCCTTTTTAATGATAAGGAAATTGAGACTCCCAGCATTCCTGTGCCTCTTGAATCAATTAATTTATGGCTGGTACCTATTAGGTCTTCTTTTTTGCACAATGACATGCCAACCCTCCTGTCCTCCACCTAAATACACAGAGCCAGGCAATGTTTTCTTTTTTTTGTACCAGGGATCGAAGTCGGGTCCTCATCATTCTCTTTTGTGTGCCTCCTCACAGGTCTCCCCACTACCACTCCCACCTATCTCCTTAAAAGCAGAGATCTGACAGGGTCACTCCTTTGCTTAGCAACTTCCCACTTCCTCTTTTTGGGTAATGTCCAAACATTTCAATCAGACACATAGGCTGGTCCTTATCAGAACCACGTTTTCCTAGTTTTTTGTTTTTTTTTTTTTTTGGTACCAGGGATCAAACTAGGGACCTTGTGCTTGTGAGGCAGGTGCCAGAACCACTGAGCTAAATCCCCGGCCCAAAACTTTTTTTTTTTTTTTTGGTACCAGGGATCGAACTCGGAACCTTGCACTTATGCAGCAGGCAGTGAAACCACTAAGTTAAATCCCCGGCCCTTTTTCCTAGTTTTTTAATCTTCTTTTGTGCTTTTATTTTGTTCCCTGTTCTAATGCAATGGTCTCTCTTCCTCTCCGTGACCATGTACGGCTATTCATTTTCACGACCCACTTTAGCTATCAGTTCTTCAAAGAAGGCTATCTTTCTAATCAGGGTACCTGTCCTCTCTGCTTCCCCAGTGCCCTGGACACTTGTTTTCCTTAGCACTTCACACCCTAATTTGTTCACAAGGTATGTCCATCTCTCCCTATTGTCTAAGAAAGGGACAAATCTTTGTCTTTATAACTATCCCAGTGTTTAACACAGTGGGAGGGACTAAAAAAAGTGTTACCTGTCTCCCATCCAACACTGAGCTCATCTGTGTATGCTGTGGCCAGTAAGAACTCAGGGAATGTGGGCTACTGTCTGCATCTCTCTTTCCAGTTGCTAAACGCTTCATCAGCTGACCTTCTAAGCATCTTTTTTTTGTGGTGCTGGAATAAAACTCAGGACATGGCACATGCTGGGCAAGCACTACACCATGAAGCTACACTCCCAGAGCTTTTTATTTTGACACAGGGTCTCATTAATACCCAAGCTGGTCTCCAACTTGTGGTCCTCCTGCCTCAGCTGCCTGAATAGGGAAAATTATAGGTATGCGTCACCAAACTGGGGTCTACAAGCAGCTTTGTTTCCACTCTAGCATTTGGTCCTGCATATACACTGTCCCGAGCCTAGGGTCATTGTTCTTCACTGATCTAGCCTCTGCTGACCTTTCCAGCCACACCCTTACTCTTTCCTTATCCTTTCTGCTCCAGGAACCACAATCTTCTTACCTTCCCCAAACACACAAGGATAGCCAGGTACAATGGCACATACCTACAATCCTAGCTACTTGGGAGGCTAAGGAGGGTGGATTTCATATTTGAGGCCAGTTTGATCAACACAGTAAGACTCTGTCCCACAAGAAAAATTAAAAAGGAATGGAGATGTAGCTCAGTGTTCTCAGTGTTCAATCTCCAGTACTGGAAAAAAAATCCAAACACACCAGACTATTGCATGTGCCCTTTTTCTCTCCTTGCAATGCCTTTCCTCCTCTTGTCCACCTATGAGCTGACTAATACAATTCAGACTAGCCCCTTCTCCCAGAAGGCCAGAGAGCCTTGGCCATTCTCTCCTCTGTACTACTCCGTACCTTACTCTGCTCAGCATAGTATTGCTTGTGTCTTAGCATCCTCATCATCTAAATAGTATCTGGGGTAAATAGTAACAGGGCTGCAGTGACTGTATTTTGAGAGCATCAAGACATCACATTTGTGGGCTGGGGATTTAGCTCAGTGACACCATGCCTGCCTCGAAAGCACAAGGTCCTGAGTTTGATCCCTGGTACCGGGAAAAAAAAAATAGCAAAAAGACATCACATTTGCTAGGACAATATATCAGCTTTCAGGTTTTTTTTTTTAATGCCCAGCTCTATCACTTCCTAGCCGTGTCACCAAGCGCAAATCATATTATAGCTCTCTGGGCTCTAGTTCAGCTATAGTAGTGACAGCACATACTTGCTAGGGTTGTCATAAGTTAGACAAGGTATGAAAATACACACAGAGGAGCCTCTGGTACACAGCGAGCATTCAGTCAGTAGCACCAATTACTACAATGGCCACTGGTGCTGCCCCACCCCGAGTCCAGTGGAGAAGGCAGTCTACAGAAACCCAGGAGCCACATATGGAGCTTCTCAGCCCCAAATCCCACCCGTTTGAGCTTTACCTGACAGTTAAGAAGGGAAAGAACCACAGCACACAGGATTGTTGGGAGTATAAAAATAGGACATTTTTTTTTTATCACATCAATTATCAAAGAAACAGTACGTAACAAAAATACAAAGCTCTGGTGGATTTTTTGTTTTTGTTTTTCCCCTATTCAATCCTCCCCAACAGCCCCTTGCCAGGGAGCCCTGGCTGAAGCCTGGATGTTGTCCCTGAGGTCACTAGGGGCTCAGGAGAACCGATGGTCCAGGTCTCTCTGGGGGCTGGCTGAGTATGAGTAGGCCTTGCCCAATACCAGGCGGTCCCGCAGCAGCTTGAAGAAGGCATAGTAGTTGCTGAAGAGGATGAGGGCCAGTGAGATGGTCTGGTGCCACTTTTCAGAGGACATTAAGGAGTACAGCTGGTAGACAATGACGGCGCCCTCTAGCAGCAGAAGGATGTTGAGGATCCGAAGGGGTTTGCTGAAAAAGAACTGCCCAGGGAAGGATAGGCATGGGCTAGAAGATGTGCTCCCCCTGGGATGGGGGGATTCTTCATGGGCCAGTGAAAGGGACTAGCTCTTGGGACCCCATGCACACTTGGTTGGGAGGAAGACTTTGTAGAATTAGGCACAGACTTTGCCATCTCATCTGTCTTTGCTTGTGGTATGCCTTCTGACAGGGCTGCTGCTTCTATTTAAATTATTTAAAATACCGTTCATCTTGTACCTCCAAGGATCCTTTCTTCCGAAGTCTTATTTACTTTTTCTGGTCTAAAATCAGTATCTTTTATTTATTTATATATTTATTTTTCTTTCTTTTTTTTGGTACTGGGGATCAAACTCGGGACCTTGCACTTGTGAGGCAGGCGGCAGAACCACTGAGCTAAATCCCCAGCTCCATATATTTATTTTTCTAGATTTTTTTGTTTTGTTTTTTTGAGTCTCATTCCATAGCTCAGGCTGGCTGTGAACTCACTATGTAGCTCTGGCTTGCCTTGACTCATGGCAATCCTCCTGCCTCAGCCTCTCAAGTGCTGGGACTACAGGTATGTGGTAGCATGCCCAGCTTTATTAATATATTTTTATTAGCACCTATTAATTTTATAAAATATTTGGTTTCATGGGCCGGGGATTTAGCTCAGTGGTTTCACCGCCTGCTGCGCAAGCCCAAGGACCCAAGTTCAATCTCCGGTACCAAAAAAAAAAAAAAAAAATTATGGGTTTCAATCTGGTATCTTCATACATGCCAATATCTTTTTTGTTGTTGTTGTTACCAAGGATCAAACTCAGGACCTTGTGCTTGCGAGGAAGGCAATGGAACCACTGAGCTAACTCCCCGGCCCACCATCTTTTTCTATGTCATCCTCTTGGGTATTATTGGGGTCTGAACAAATTAGAATTTTATTTTATTTGTGTAGAAAGTTATTGCAGACTATATACCCTCAGTATCTATTACTTCCTGTGTAGCATCCTTAGCTAGGCTGGAAGCTTCTAGGGGACATAATAACACCTTATTCATACCTAGTATTTCAGAGCAAGGTGGAGTGTAGGGCTCAAGAAACATTTTCTGTAAGTTCAAAAGTACGTTTAATGTTTAGGATCTTGATTCTGCAGGGCCAAGATAGCTAAACCTGCAGGGATGCTTACAAGATGGGAAGAGGGGTGGCATGAAACAGAGTTCAAGACACCAAGGTGCTAGGCTCAGTTCTGCACCTGACAGGCTGCAAGACTCTGGGCAAATCCCTTCCCTCCCTGGGCCTCAGGTTTCTCAACTGTGAAATGCCAGTAATAGCTCAGGTAAGTAGTATCTCAAACTGTAATCTTCAGAGCCCCAGTTTCTATGTAATACCTGGGGAGCTTTTAGCAGAGGTGAGTGGGAAGTGAAGGGGGTTCCAATCTCTTCAAATAGAACAATGCTGTGAAGTCCTTAAATTGAACTTCAGTCTATGACTGTGTTGGAAAAAAGGAGTTTAAAAGAAAAATAAATAGAGAACACTAACCTATCCGATTCTGAGCAGCCCTGTCCCACGGTGCTGAGTTATGTGTCATTACTATCAGTTCCCAAGTTTCCCAATAAGGAGCTCTTGAAGCTGGACTCCTTAAGCCAATTTCAGTATCTAAAAACAGGGTTAGCTCTGGCAGTTCTCTTACACACAAGTTTCTGGGAAAGACTGAATAGTACGGTACGTGGGAGGTGCTTAGCATAGTGCCTAGCACGTAGCAAGGAGTAATCATTGTTATTTTAACTGCCAAGAACACATTCTTTTATTGTACGATCTTCTCCATCCAATGGTATGAAAGATCTGTTACCAAGTGACCAATAGTTATGAAGTGATAATCTTTGTAGTAGCTTTACTTATGCTGCATGTGTGTACTGTCTTCCTTTGGATTTGGGAAATACTGAAAATAGCTTTCTCTTGCTTTGCCCACCTTCCTCCCTGGTGATTCCCATCCATCCCCTCCCCTCTACATCATGCCCCAACCCTCTTTCCCAGAGGAGGAGACTCACATGGAACCGGAAGTGGGAGACGTCAGAGGGGATGGCCACATTATAGTGACCTACTGCTTTGTAGACATTCTTGCTGTGTTTCACCAGCACACCCTGTGGCCACATGCATTCTTCAGTCCACCTGGAGGCATAGTTCAAGAGTGCCTCTTATCCCAGGCTCAACCAAGAAAGAAGGTACCACAAGATTAGGCACAGAGCAATCACCAGGGCTCTACTTCCATTTCTGTCATTTAGACACACTAACTTCCTTTTTCGGGTCTCAGTTGCCCCCTCCATAAAATGAGGCATGAACCCTGAGAAATTCATTGCATTGGGAGTCTGGCAGTCTAGGGCTAAGAGATTGTAACAAAAACCCTTTTTCCTCTATGGATGTTTTTGCTTCATCTGGTCTTACTTCTAGCTTCCAATCAGTCCACCACACAGCTATCTGAATGGTCTCTGTAAAAATCAGGCTGAGCATGACCATGCTCTCCTTAAAATATGCTAACGGCTTCCCATGACTCCCGTCACACAGCTCATAAACTCTCAGAACTGTTCCACTTCCTCCCAGCACATCATTCTGTTCATGTCTCTGTACTCCCCCTCCAACAGGACTGACCTTCTGGTTTGTTTTTGAGGGGTGGGGGGTGAGACAGGGTCTCGCTATATAGTCCAGGCTGGCCTTGGACTCATGGTGATCCTCCTGCCTCAGCCTCCCGAGTGCTGGGATTACAGGCATGCACCACCATGCCCAGCTCAAAGCCTTACCCTTCTGGAAAGTTCTTCATCATCTTTCAAAACCTGGCTTTTCCAGAAAGTCTCTCTCAAATGCCCCAGAGTTGAGTATCCTATTACTGACCCCTGAATCTAGTGCTATTGACCCACTTTTCCCAACGTTCGTCATTTATTTATTTTCCTGTCTGTATCCCTCATGAGGCTAGGAGCCCTCTAGGAAGAGGAGATGGTGTCCAATCCATCCTTGTGTCCTTAAAGAATGCCACAAAGCCTGACACTGAGAGGGCCCATGTGCATGTGAATGAGACTGCACCTAGTGAAAACTTTCTTCCAGTGTTTCTGTGTTTTCCCAGGAACTTCAAAGGTCCTGGGCTAGAGACTGAGAACTACAATCTCTCTTCTAATGTACACTCCTGCCTCATTATTTCATTCATTTAAAAAGTAGTTACTGGGCCGGGGATTTAGCTCAGTGGTTCTGCCACCTGGCTCACAAGCGCAAGGTCCTGAGTTCGATCCCCGGTACCAAAAAAAAAAAAGTAGTTATTGTGTTATATACAACCACAAAGATGAACCTCACAGACAATAAACATGCAAATGAACGCTGGACATAAAGAGTATCTACTTATAATTTCATTCATATGAAATTCTAGAACAGGCAAAACTAACCTATGGTAAAATAATACAGGAAGGCCTTGGGGGCAGGAAGTCACAAGGGCCATGAGAAAATTTCCTGGCAGGGCTGGAACTGTTCTATACCTTGATGGGGTAAGTTATATGGGTGTATATGACTTTATCAAAACTCAAAGAATTGTACCCTTTGCAATTTGTACATTTCATTCTATGTAAATTTTACCTTAAAAAATAAAAGACTATACACAGAAAAATAAAACAAACAAAAAAATTTCAGTGTACTCATCATAAGTCAGGCACTCTAGCCGTAGGGAAGAGACAGCTGAGTGCTAGACCAGCAAGAGACCTGGCCTCCAGAAGCTTTTAGTACTGGAAGGGCAGACAGGAAACTAAGCAAACTCAGCAGAAAGCATGAAGTGCAATGAGTATGGTACCATGGGGGAATGAAGGGAGGGGAGGACATGGGGGACTGAAGGGAGTGCTAAAGATAGTTAACCAGCAAAAGAAGGACAGAAAGAGCATTCCAAAAGGAAAAAGCCTAGATCCCAAAAAGCATACAAGGACTGGAAGAGGTTTGCATGGCTAGAGCAAAGCATGAACTAGAGCAGGGTAAGAGATCAGCAGAAAAGGCTGGCTGGCAGGACTCAGTTCATCAGCTGGGAAGCCCTGTGAAGAAGCCTGGATCTTATTTCAGAGTCTTAGAGAGCCCCAAACAGGTAGATCCTCATATTCAGCTACCTTCTATCTTTCTACTCCTCCCTCCCCTCAGAGCCTGAGGATAAGATAAGCCCACTTTTGGCTCATTTGTCAGTCTAGTAACTTTTCTGGATCACCTGGACAGAGCACAAAAGGGACCCTGATTGGCATGGAGGGCCAACACCACGAGGCTTGGCTTTGTGGCCTTCCTTGCATTTTTGCTCCTTGGTGGATCTATCTCTACAAACACGTTCCAGGGGTCTCCTCTCTGCCAGCCCTTGTCCTGGGCCTAAGACTCAGATATAATTCAGAGGTGGTCCTGTCCTTGAGGAGCTTCCAGTCTCATAGGGGAATATAGGCAGAAAAATTAGCATAACCTGGGTTGAAAAATACTTTGATAAAGGGCTATAGAAATAGGTACATGAGTAATTCGTATAAGTGAGGCAAAAGAGGCCTAGATGTAGGATAACACTGCACCCAGATTAGAGGGAGATGTCCCCCTGCTCAGGAGCTCTGAGGTATTGGGCTATCCTCCCCTTAACTTGGCTCATTCTTCACTAGTGTCTAAGGATTAGCCCAGGCTGGCCTCCCAAGAGTTGGGATTACTGGTGTGTACCACCACATTTGACTTGTTAAAAAATCTTCTATGTCTCTCTTCAGCCTATAGGTACAACCTCCCCTGCCTGATACACCAGCACCAGGCCTGATATGGAATGGGTAGAAGTAAGTATTTCCTCAAAGAACAGGTGACCTAACAGTTGAGTGGATGAGTGAGCAGATGAGACAGGAAGTAAGCAATGAATGATTGCATCTTTGAGCAATTTAGTCAATTAGTGAACTAATAAATGAATCAACAAATGAGGCAGTGCATGAGTCTGAATTTGCCACCTGCTCACCTTCCATCTCCAGCACACTGCAAGCTATAAGAGATGAACAGAAAACGGCTGACAGGACTCAGTTCATGAGCTGGGAAGCCGTGTGAAGAACGCTGGATCATCTCAGAGGCCTTTAGGGAGCCACAGACACATTGATCCTCATATTCAGCTATGTTCTTTCTTTCTATTCCTCCCTCCTCTTTTTTTTTTTTTTTTGGTACAGGGGATTGAACTCAGGTCCTTGTGCTTGCGTACCAGGCGGCGAAACCACTGAGCTAAATCCCCGGCTCTCCCTCCTCTTGGGCTCCACCACACTCTATTCTGGTTTTGTTTTGTTTTTTGTACCAGGGATCGAACTTGGGTTGTTGCGCTTTTGAGGCAGGCGGCAGAACCACTGAGCTAAATCCCCAGCCCACCACACCCTATTCTGGACACAGGCCTAAAATACAAGTCAGGCTCAATAGCTGTTTGCTGGCTGGCTGAAGAGCTAATAAGCAAGTAGGCAAGTGACTCCAGACACGGACCAGGAGGGTTGGGGTTGAGCAGAGCAGAGAAGGACAACTCACGGATGCTGTAGCACATTGGAGCACAGTGCTGGGTCCACCTTCTGCCAGCAGCCCAGATGGGCAGCAGCCTTGTGCAGCAGGTCACAGTAGCTGGCAGGCAGTAGGTGCTGCATGAGGATCACTGAGGTACTGATAGACACCAGCAGGAAGAGCTCACAGGACCAACGCTTGTCATAGTAATGTGTGTTCTGGGGATAGCAAGAAGTGGGTAAGGCTTGGGATGCCCATAATGGCCATCACTCCTTCTCCCTTCCCTGATTCTACCTCCCTTAGAAGTTGGGACAGTGCTGGGGAGACTCAGGATGGCCTGAAATCAAGAGTCAAAAACCTAACAAAGGAAGCTGGGCATGGTGGCACACACCTGTAATCCCAGCACTTGGGAGGTTGAGGTAGGATAATCACCAGTTCAAGGCCAGCCTGAACTACATAGCAAGACCCTGTCCACTCTCCCTCCAAAAGAGTAACCACAATCACCTCTGAAAGGCATTAGGAAGATTACAACACACATGAAAGTTCCTTAGGTGTTATAGGTGTTCGACAGACATTAAATTCCCTCAACCTCCAATCTTTAGGTACAGTACATCCTGTAGGAATGTTTCAAGACTACTATAGCTGAGGAGGTACCTTCCAGGACAGTATACACAGACTTTTTGGGTCAGATCTGGATGAATCCTGGCTTCCCTACTTAAGGGTAAGGAAGGATATTGCTACACCTGTATCAAAACAGCCACCAAAATACTGTATAAAGTCAATGCTCTTTGTTATCAATTATTATGAATAACACTATGTCTCTCATTGGCTGAGTGACCTTAGGCAGGTCACTTCCTTTTTTGGGAGTCTTGTTCTCTGCACTCTAAAATGCAGACAGTAATCATTCTAGTTTTCTAGAGAACAGATGGGAAATCCCATAAAAAAGAGTAGTTATTTATGCAATCAGGAGGGCTCACAGGGGGTAGGCAGCAAGGTAAGGTCCCAGCTGGGCCCTGTCCCTCCCTGCATTAAGCTGTGTACCTTCACAAACCAGACAGGTACAAAGGCCACGTAATAGGCACTCAGCATGGAGCTAACAAGCACTTCCTTCATACGCCAATTGAAATCCATCTTGAGGAACTCCACTTCACTGCGGATGAGGCTGGGTGACAGGCAGCAGGCATGGGTGGGCATGGCTTCTGGGCCATACAGCTGTCGAGTGTGTTGCTTCCACGTCTCCCGCAATGTCAGCAGGTAGTCCCGACTCCGTGCCAGGCCACTCACTGCCTCCCGGGGCCCCATGGAGGCCATGTGGCTGAAGAGGTTTGTCTTGCGGAGATCACAGTTCAGCTGTAGGAATGGAATGTACATCCCAAACCTGCTGGGGAAGACAGAAGTGAGGGCAGGCCTGGCCATGGGCTCAGACCCCAACCTTTAGCCTGAGAGTGGGCTGTGCTTTCCTTTCTGAGCCTCAGCTTTCCTGAATGCTCTGAGGGGAATTTACCCATCCTTCATCCATCAATGCTTCCATCCAATGTTTTTTTTTTTTCTGGTACCAGGAATCGAACTCTGGACCTTGTGCTTGCCAGACAGGTGCAGCACTGCTGAGCTGCATCCCCGGCATCCAATGATTTTTTTTTTTTTGGTACCAGGGATTGAACTCAGGTCCTTGTGCTTGCAAGGCAGACGGCGTAACCACTGAGCCAAATCCCCAGCCCCATCCAATGATTTTTGAACATATATCTTAGCACTGAGTATGTGCTGAGCACTGGGCATATAGTAAGAAGCAAGAGACAAGTCCCTACCCCCACCATCTAGTAGTGACAGCTAATAATAATAACAGTCCCCACACACTGGCCCAGCCTATGTTCCAAGCATTGTACTAAATGCTTTACCTGTACCTTCTTTTTTTTCTTGTAACATGCATTAGAAACTGCTATTCTATCCCCTTTTCAGCTGAGGAAGCTGTGGCTCAGAGAAGTGAAGTAAATTCCTAAATGGTTACGCAATTAACAAGAAAGAAATACAGCTAGGGCTCAGACCCAGCTCTGTCTGGTACCAAAGATCAAGATAGATATTTTTAAAAACCAATTTAATGAATTAAAAATGTACAAGGTGCAACAAAAATAAGTATAAATTATATGATTTGGTGCATGTATGGGAGGTAACTCTTTAGTTTGCATTGCACAGTTCACAAGTATTTAGTTTGTGCCTATTATGTGCCAGTGGTGAAATGGACTTTTCTTAAATGTATAACTTTATTATCATTCACTAAACACACATATATACAAAAATTAAAATTATTCAAAGAAAAGCAATGCAAGGGAAAAAACTATAATAATATTCAAATATAACAGAACTCAGCCAAAGCAAAATTGAAAAGTACTTAAACATTTTTCCATATAATTTAAAAAGACATCTCAAGCATTAACAGGACATCAAAGGATGTGATTTGTTTTAGAAAGATTTTCAAAACTAATATTGAACAAATAGTGGTCTGGAAAAAAAATTCTAGCACTTTTTTTTTTTTTTTTGGTACCGGGGATCAAACTCAGGTCCTTGAGCTTGTGGGGCAGGTGTTGGAACCACTGAGCTAAATCCCCGGCCCTGGAAAAAAAAATCTAATTAGCTAGTAGACTCCATGTAGCCCAAATTTTTAAAATTTAAATTTCAATACAGTCATGTGACATGTGATAGAAATATAATCTGACAAATACATTATTAGACAATTTCATCCGTGTGTATCGCAAAGTACCATACAGAGTGTCAACTATGGACCCTTAAAACAGTACAAATCCTTTCCCCTGAACAGCACCCTTCAGGTAGAGCTAAAGTTAATTAGGGTTGTTTTGCTTTGTTTTTTGTGGTACTAAGAATTGAACCCTTGGCCCTGTGCATGCTATACCACTTAGCTACCACTTAGCTGCATCCTAGCCTTTGTTTTTGAGATGGGGCTCACAAAGTTGCCCAGGCTGGCCTCAAACTTGTGATCCTCCTGCCTCAGCCTCCCAAGTCACTGGGATTACAAGTATGTACCAATGTGCTCAGCTCTCAAGGTATATTTTTGAGTATATGGCTGGTACTGTTCGAGAAGAAAACTAGATAAGCCTGTAGACTGGAAGAATACAGTGAGCCCTCCCTATCTGTGGATCTTCCATCTGCAGATTCAAGCAACCTGGGATTGAAAATATCCTATCTGAAAAAGAAATGTTACATGGCTGCTGATTTGTAATTAGGTCTATGGTGTTGGCATGTTTGCATCTGTCCTGAACATGTACAGATTTTTATTCATTGTCAACTTCTAAACCAGACATGTATGGTACAACTTGTGGCTTGCTCTCTACTCCCTTTTTTGTTTGTTTTGACACAGGGTCTCACATGTAGCTCAGGGTGCCTTGAACTCACAGTGATCCTCCTGCCTTAGCTTCCACAGTTCTGGGATTGCAAGCCCGTGCCACCACCCCCAGCCCCTCTTTTATTTTGTTAATGTTATAATACAAATATTTAAAGAAGTTTTTTGTTTTTTTCTCGTTAAATTTTTATATTTTTAAAAAAGTTTTGTTACTTATATACATTATATTATATATCTTATACGCAGCCTAAGACAATTCTTCATGAAAAAAAGAGGGGAAAAAAAGTGGACTGCAGGTTGAACACACCTGCTCTAAAAGAGAATTAACCTTTTGCATAGCATTTACTTTGCATTGGGTATTGTAAGTAATGTAGAAATGATTACTTACTAAAGTTTTTTTTTTTTTCTGGTACCAGAGATTGAACTCAGGACCTTGCACTTGCCAGCCAGGTGCAATGCCACTGAGCTACATCCCTGGCATACTTACTAAAGTATACAGGGAAGATGTGTGTACGTTATACGCACACACATGCTATAAGAGACCTGAGTATCCTCTAATTTTGGTATCTGGGATGTCCTGAAGTGAGTCTTCCAGAGTACCAAGGGAGGACTATAATTATAAAAAGTGGTAAGTGCTTGCGTTTTTTTTTGAACTCATGGTAATCCTCTTGCCTCAGCCTCCTGAGTGCTGAGATTACAGGCATCTGCTACCACGTCAGGGTATAGTTATTTCTGTTTTTTTCCACCTTGAGGCCTCTCAATTTCTCTAGGTCTAGGTTCCCAGAATTACAAAGCCCCAAGAGGGGCTCTGGGCTGTCCCCCAGAAGTTAGGGTCAATGACAGTGCTTTTTTTTTTTTTTTTTTGGCAATACTAGACATTGAACCCAGGACTATCATAGTGAGCTACATCCCCAGCCCCTTGAGACAAGGTCTCACTAAGTTATTAAATTGCCCAGTTGGGCTTAAACTTGTATCTTTCTGCCTCAGCCTTCCAGAGTCCTGAGATTACAGGCATGTACCACCACACTTAACTCTGTGCTACATTTCTTCTCTTTCTTTTTTTTTTGTACCGGGGATCGAACTCGGGTCCTTCTACTTGCGAGGCAGGTGGTGAAACCACTGAGCTAAATCTCCGGCTCTCTTCTCTTTCTTTTTAGACTAGGTCTCACTATGTAATTCAGGCTGGGCTTGAACTTATGTAGCCCAGGCTGGCCTCAAATTCATGGTGATCCTCCTGCCTCAGCCTCCTGAGTGCTGGGATTACAGGCATGTGTCACCACACCTAGCTAGTGCTACATTTCTTTTTCTTTTTTTTTTTGAGTTAGGGTCTCCATTTGTAGTTCAGGTTGGCCCTGAACTCACTATAGAGCCCAGGCTGGCCTTGAACTTTCAGTGATCCTCCTGCCTCAGCCTCCCAAGTACTGGGATTATAGGCCATGTGTCACCACACCTAGCTAGTGCTACATTTCTTTTTTTTTTTTAGTATCGGGGATCGAACTCAGATCCTTGTGCTTGTGCAGCAGGCGGTGAAACCACTGAGCTAAATCCCCGGCCCTAGTGCTACATTTCTTAACTACAATTTTTTCTTTTATTTTTTTCTGGGGTCCCAGGAAGGAATAGCTGTCCCTAGGCAAATAACTAAGCCTCTTTGGGCTTTTGTTTTCCTGTCTATAAAACAGGGATGTTACCATTCTTCCTGTGATAATATATGTATATATATTTTTTGGGTTTTTTGAGATAGGATCTCACTATGTAGTTCAGGATGGCCTCAAACTCATGGTGATCCTCCCACCTCAGCCTCCCGAGTGCTGGGATGATAGGCATACACCACCACACCCAGCCTCCTGTGGTAATATTAAGTAAGATACTTAAAGAATTGTGGTTAAGAGTATAACACATTAGCTGGGTGCAGTGGCACATGCCAGCTTCTTAGCAGGTTGAGGCAGAATTGAGTTCAGGGTCAACAGCAAGATCTTGTCTCCTTTAAAAAAAAAAGCAGGATATGGTGGCACACACCTGTAATTCCAGAACTCCAAAGGCTGAGGCAGGAGTATCTCTGCAAGCTTGTGGCCAACCTGGGCTGCACAGTGAGTTCAAGGACAGCCAGAACTACATAGTGAGACCCTGTCTCAAAAAACCCAAATAAATAATTAATAAAATAAAATAAAAATTTTAAAAAGCATAACTTTTGGGGCCAAAGAGACCTAAATTAAAATCTTACTCTGCCAGTTACGAGATCTGTGATTTAGGACATGTTATTTAACCTCTGTGCTTCAGCTTCCTTAACTTGCCCTATGTTATATAGTTACACAACGTATATTGATCCTTTTCTCCCAGCCAGGCATTAAACTAGTGTTTTCATAAATACTCTCATTCAGTCCTTGTTGCAGCCCTCCAGCATGATGCGTGGCTCTGAATAGAAGATCAATACAATTCTGTTTAGAAAATAAAGAGGCCAGTGATTCTGTGGGAACAGGAAAGAAGATTGCAATGGAATTCCCAAAACATTCTTCAGGATGTCCTGTGTGAACTGGTGGTGGGGAGGGTGTTATGCAAAAATATAAAGGACTCAGACTCTATCTTATAGGCAAGTACTTAAGAATTTCCTTGGTTTTGCCTCTAAGAACTGCAGATAGGTCCTGTAAGCAACTAAACTATTTGTTGCCAGTAAGTGACTGCTCTGAAAGATTAGAAATTAGAAGCATTGGGCTGGGGATTTAGCTCAGTGATTCTGCTGCCTGCCTCGCAAGTCCAAGGACCTGAGTTCGATCCCCAGTACCAAAAAAAAAAGAAAGAAATTAGAAGCACCTTTACATGCAAGATGGCAAATTCTTTCATACCCTCCACTCACTCATTCAAGACAGTGTAAAAGTAGAAAATAAATACCCATTAGCGAAAAGAAAAAAATGGGAAGGAGGTCATCAGTACACAAATGACTGACAAAACTGAGAAAACAAATGGAGATATGTTGACAGATGAGGAAAAAGCCATTACCTACAGTGAGAGCTTTCCAAAAGAAATATGAG